TGTGCTAATGATGCAAGAATTGATGTAATCGATTTTGGAAAAGAGAACAAACCGTGTGAGTCGTAGCGTGCGTTTCTGGGTGTGAAAGGACTTGCAATTGATCCAGTTAGCTTCAGAGATGCTCCAGGATGCGATTGGGAGTGTTGGAATGCTTTGAATTAGTCTCTATGATGAAATCCGATTCACCAATTTTTGCCAAAAATTTGAGTTCTTCTTTGTGCTTTCCACGACTGTTAGCCTCTGTTTCATGCCTGGCCTTGCTCACTATATATCCCTGAATGAATTAGGGTTATAAAAACTACATGTATCTTTGAAAATTTTGAAGATTTGATCTCATTCCTTCCTTGTATGATTTGTTTCCAAATTAGGCCTAATCATGTCATTCTTGTTCCAATCCACCTTGATTCGATTTGATCCTAATATGTCAACATAATTAGCTTGTGATCCTGTCCAAAAATCAGATCAAAACAAATCTTTGCTATTAGTTCTCATTTATTTGATTTAATTCAATTTTTAATCAATAAAAAATCAAAATAAAATGAAAAATGAAGCAAACAATGTGTGGGTGAATATTTGGGTCGTGGATCATGTTATGAGTGAGGTGCAAGCATGAAGAGTTAGGCCCATTTGGCAAAAAATGCATCTTTGAGCACATTTGACTTTTGGCAATTTTTCAAAAATGGTCAACTTTGACCAGGCATATCTCTTCCAATTTTAACCCTATAGAGGTGTTCTTGGACTTTTTAAAAAGTTTAGGATGTCTCCTAAACAACCCTTTTGGTATCATCTAAATTGGGTCTTCCATGTTCATGTAAGAAGCTTTGACCCAAAATGTGTTTTTGTTGACTTTTCAAAAGGACCTATAATGTAGAAATTCATATCTTTTTGTGAGTGCATATTTTGAACTTGAGGGCTGAAAATGAATTGTAGGGAATTTCATACTCTTCAAAATGAGCCTTGGATGGAAAATTTCTTATAAAGTATGAGGAAGTTATGCTTGGTCAAAATTTGGTTGACTTTTCCTAAGAAACCCTAATTTAGCAACTTTTGAGTTTTGATGAATTAGGAGCATTCCTTGAGGTATCATGATCAACCCTTGATCAAATGATGAAATTCACTTCAAAATGTTGATGTTGACCAAAAATATTGAAGTTTGACTGTATGTGGGCCACAGTTGACTTTTGACCTAATATAGTTGATTTCCAAGCATCTGAGCAGTTGACTGAGCAAACTTCTTGTGCAAGGCATGAAACTTGACATGGATGATCTTGAGAGCATATTAGGACCATGGAAAGAATTTGAGGCCTTTGTAGTACACCCATCTTGATGAAAATGGAAACCCTAATTTGAGACACATTGCCTTAGGAGAGAGTTTGTCTGGTTAACTCTTGAGCAACCTTGAGCAAATTGAGGATCTCAATGGGCATGTGCTGAGTAAAATGAGAGGGAAAATTTTGGAGTGCAACACCAGTCCCCCATTATGAAAAGAAAGTTAGAGGATTCTTGGGTCGTCTCAATTACATCGCCCGCTTCATATCTCACTTAATTGCTACTTGTGAGCCAATCTTCAAACTCTTGAAGAAAGATCAGGTAGTCAGATGGAATGATGAATGCCAAACTTCCTTCGACAAAATCAAAGAATATCTGCAAGAACCTCCTATTCTCATGCCTCCAGTTGAATAAATACCCTTGATCATGTACTTGAGAGTACTAGAGAATTCTATGGGGTGTGTTTTGGGCCAACATCACGAGTCTGGCCAAAAAGAGCATGCTATTTATTACCTCAGCAAAAAGTTTACCGACTGTGAAACCAGATATTCACTGCTCAAGAAAAATTGTTGCGCTCTGGCATGGGCTTCTCACCGGCTAAGACAGTATATGTTGACCCATAACACTCTGTTGATTTCTAAGATGGACCCAATCAAGTACATCTTTGAGAAACCTGCTCTTTCCGGACGAATAGCTATATGGAAAATGATCTTGACTGAGTATGGCATTTAATACACAATGCAAAAGGCCATTAAAGGAAGTGTATTATCATATCATTTGGCCCATCAAGTTGTTGACAATTATCAGTCTATGAACTTTGGCTTCCCGGATGAGAATGTCATGCTAGTGACCGACTGTGCGAAACCTGGATCGTATGACGGACCTGAACAAGGATCCCGATGGACTATGGTCTTCGATTGGGCTTCCAACATTTTGGTTAATGGAATTGGTGTTCTGATCATCTCCCCTGAAGGTTTCCACACTCCATTCACTTCCAGACTATGTTTCGATTGCACGAACAACATGCCTGAGTACGAAGCATGCATTTTTTGTCTGAAGGTTGCCATTGACTTAAAGATCAAGCATTTGAATGTGTTTGGGGATTCCGATCTAGTGATTATCCAAGTAAAAGGAGATTGGGATACTAAACACCCTAATATCATTCCTTACAAGGAGCTTGTGCTATCTATGATTCCTTACTTCGAAGAGATCACCTTTGAACACTTCCATAGGGAAGAAAATCAATTAGTCGATGCCTTGGCCACAATGTCTTCAATGTTCAAGGTCATATGGGACAACGAAGCTCCTATGATTACAATTGAGAGATTCGACGAACTTGTACACTACTGTGAGCTTGACACTGAAACAGAAAAGCCTTAGTACCATTAGGTGAAGAGATACCTTGAAGCACAAGAATACCCTGAAGGAGCATTCATCAATGACAGAAAGTTCTTACGAAGATTTTCAGCCAAATTCTTCCTAAGTAACATAATTTTTTACAAGTGCAACCATGACTCTACTCTACTCCGATGTATGGACAAGAATGAGGCAGAGGAAATTATGGAAGACATGCATGATGGTCTCTTTGGGACTCACTCAAGTGGACATACGATGGCCAAGAAAATCCTGAGAGCTAACTACTATTGGTCAACAATGGAGACTGATTGCCATTAACACTCAAGGACTTGCCACAAATTCCAAATCTATGTTGACAAGGTCCATGTGCCTCATATCCCTCTGAACGTCATGACCGCTCCATGGCCATTTGCAATGTGGGTGTTATACCCCAAAATTTTCCCTCTCGTTTTTATTCAAGATATTATCCTAGGGTTTCTCGAATACTTAATTTGGCTCAAAATTGATCAGATAGATTCTCTTCCTAGGCAGTAAGTCAACAATTAGGGTTTGTTATTTCCCAAATAAAATTGAGTCTACAAGGTCTCAAATGGTCTTCATAGATCTTCATGTCTCCTCAAGGATGTTCGTGCTAGTTTTTAAACTTTGCATTGGAAGTTTGTTCAGTCTATGGTTCAGATGACTGAAAACGACCACATTGACCCAAAAAATCGACCTTTGCGAGATTAAGTCCAAAAAATGGTAACTTCTTCATTATTCGATACTTTTGAGCGGTTCTTTTTTCGTATGACTCTCCTTGACGTCATCTTCAATTTCTCTTCACAAATCAAGAGCTGATTACATGTGGAAGATCACCAAAATTCGAATACTTTAGAGGTCGCTTCATGGATTTGACCTAATCTTAAGTAATTGTCGTCTGACTTCTAAGAATTGTGATTTCGTCAAAATCCAAGATCTTGAGACGATTATTTCTGCATATTGTCATAAGTGGTGACATTTACAAGTTTATCTTCAAAGATCAAAGGAAAATTGTGTTTGGAAGACTTTGAAAGTTATCGAATCATCACATGTCATTTTCTTGATTTCAAATGTTCTTAACTCCTAATTTCAATTCATACCACAATTGTTTTCTCAAGACTATGATTCTAATGTTAAAGTTGTTAATTTTACAATATTGATGAATACTTTTAAAGCATATGTTTTGTCATCAAGAGATTGAATTCAGGTTTGACAATGAAGTTCCATTTGAATCGAGCATGGCATGCGAGTTTCATTTTGAGTGCAAGTTTCATGGAATCAAGAGGGTATACAATGTTCAAAACATTTCCAATATTATCAAACAAACTTCACTCAACACATGTTCGAAATCGCATTGATTCACTTATGTGTCAATCTCCTTCAAGCTTTTGAGACCAATGAGTTTACACAAGGAAATTTCGAGTTTCTATCTCGCAAATCATTCAAAGTTGTTACATTACTACAAGAGATTTACAAACTTCAAGTTCCATCAATTTATGTTACAAGTTACAATAAAAACTACAAGTGTTTTGTTTACGAAAAAAGAAAATATTGCTTCTTCAATTTTCTCTTGCTTCATTTTCAAGAAAATCATCCACTCCTCGCCATGGCTTCTTCTCCGTTCAACCTCGCTTGCCATCCAATTGCTCGTACATGTAACAAAAGAAAGAAAAATTAGCAAACAATCAACATGTAAAAAATTCAAGCAAGAATGATTTGTTAAACAAGAAAACTCATCATTAGGATTTGCATTTGGAATCAGAACTAAAAGGTTTTGTTTTTAATCATGGACTATCTCCTACTTTTGCAAATCACAAAAAGTTTGATCTTTTTGGTTCACAAAAAGGAATAGAAATTCACAAATGTTTTTCTACTGCAAAAGCAACAAGCCAAAACTGCCAAGTACAAAAACAGATGCAGCAGAGCACCAAGGCGGCAGCAAACCAGCGCAACAGCAAGGCAGCAACATAGCAAGTAGCAACAAGCCAAAATTGTAACACAAAGGCGGGCTATTAAAGCAGCCAACAACAGCATATAGCAGCAGAACAGCGGGCAAGCAGCTGCTGTAAACAAAAAAAATAGACTTGCAGCCAAGATGCCAAGCACATCAACACAAAACAACAAGCTGCACAATAGCTTCAAAAACCTGCTACAAAACAACAAAATAACAATCCACAAACTAGCCTAAAACCAGTCTAAAACACTGCTCCATGGCTGCCCTGCTGTCCACTACACATTGATGTCCAAAATTCTACTACAAAACCTATCAAAACAGTCCACAAAAAACTCTCAAAGCAGTCCAAAGCCTTACATCAAAATAGCCAAAACAACTTACACAAAAACAACCAAAAACTCTCCTACTGTCTACCACAAACAGCCCAAGACCAAGCTTCTGTCCAAAACTTGCAAACCTGCCTATAACAGTCCATTACAAAGCCCTGCCGAAACTGTGACCCTGTCCAACCTGCTGCATTAGTCCACCAACCTGGCACAAAAATGGCAAAGCAAGCCTGTTATAAGAGAAAGCAGTAAATCAGTACACAAAAACTAATTTTCCATTCAAAAAATTTTGGCTTCAAAACCCCATCCAATCTCCCTCTCATCAAATATAAATTAGAACGTATACATTACAAAGGGAGAACACAAAAAAATCATTAACACAGTAAATTCAAAAACACAATCCTCACAAAACAATTTCAACATCCAACTGTTTACCTTCTTCACACAATCCAGTTGCTTCCTCCACTACCAGTATCCACCGGAACCCACTTCCTCTTCACGATTCAACAAGCAGAAAAAATATTTACAGAACCTTAACTCAAACACCATCCATTTTACCTCATCTCCAAATCTACGAAAATCCAACAAAAAACAATCAACAAAAACCATTCCTCAAAAACTTTACCTCTCTACAAACTCACCCCTGCAAACACTTCCAATACTCCAAACAACCATATTTCTAGAATTTCAGAATCAAGCATAAAGAAGAGTTTTGTTAAGCAAAAAAAAGCCAAATAAATACTTACAGAACCTTAACCCCAAACACATCCCTCTGACTCCAACGAAGCCTTCTCAGACCAGAACAGTGTCCTCCGCGCAGGCCCTTTATCTGTCTCCGTTAAAACACAGTTGACGCAGCATCGACAACCGTCGTTTCCGACGATCCAACCTCCATCCCATCACACGTACCAATCCGCATCAGGAAATTACCGATCTCTCTTCCGGAATCCGCAAGCCGAACAACAACACCTCACTCCTCCGAACTCTGTCGCTTCTCACGTCGTGGACACACCATCTACTTCCGGCGCGGATCTACCACCTCCCAACGCTTCGTCTCCACCGCCAACAAAAGGGAAATCACACGGTATGTTCATAATCTAATTTTGATGATTTGAGGTTTATGTGTTTTGCTTGTTTGAAAATTGGGTATTTTTGTGAAAGAAATAGATGAGATTTTTGGGTCGTTCAAAGAGAAGGGATATGCTATGTTTAAGAAAAAAGATTTTTCCATATTTCTTTGTTTACTAACTGCAATCTCTATTCCTCTTATGTTAATATATTTTTTTTATAACTATTACGCCATGTGTCGTAGTAATATTGATTCTTAGTTTGTTTTGAAATAGACGTGTATAGTAAAGATGGGAGTAGACTGCATGAAGTTTCTTTCTTCTCTTAGTTAGTTAGTTTTACTTCCTTTTTTTTTTAAATTTTAATATCATCTCATTTTATTTTATTATTTACTGTAGTTTTTTTATAATTTAGATAGAATTGGCCATGAGTCTTGAGGCCCTTTTGTTTTAAACTTCAATTCTTTATGTTTCATTCTCACCCTCTTTTTAAGATTATTTTCTTTATAGCTATAATTGATTTAATCAGTTATTTTCTTTAATAGAATAGAAATTTATTTTTCTTTTCAAATTCTCACAAACAAAAATATCAAGAATTTTTATTTTTATACTTTGTTAATTAATTTTTACTTCATAGACTATTGTAGTTTTAATTAATTTGTTCTATTCGATTTGGTTGTATTGATTGTCTATTTAAACTTTTAATCGAATTGATTCATCCCCATTTGTAAATTTGTACTCCCCATTCCTGAAAAATCTGTAATAGCGTAGAATTTTAATTTCCTCAATTTACTGTTTTCCTTTATACTATATAGTAATTAGGCATGTATGGCAAGACATAAAATCAACCATTAGATAACCCTAATCAAAGAACAAATTAACTTGAATCAAACACACTTTTACACGCACACCTCTAGGATATCCTCGCTTGTTGCCTCGGAAAAATAGTCATGTCCCTCGAATATGTGACGCTTTAGCAAAGACCCTTCGATAAAAAAGATCGCAGTCCCTCGATGTCCCTCGATGTTGCCTTTGATAAAACGATCTAGTCCCTTAGGAAAAATTGCTAAAGCGTCTCACAAATTGCCTTCTATGACTGTATGTTTGACGCGCTCCTGCCCCTTCATATTCAACGATGGGGCTTCTTACCAAATCAATGGTAAGATATCAACATCTAAAGGAGGAGGAAAAGAACATTTAAGACCTTTTGAGTAGGTAGGATGCTCCTAGTTGCTCACTTGCTCATAACAAAAACATTTTATACACCCACACTTTCATTTTGAAACATTTTCAAAAGACAATACTTTGTACGCATTCTTATAGAAACGAGAGCCATTACAAAGACACTTTTCAAAATCACTTTCAAAAATACATTCCAAAAACACCTCTTTGAACTATTTTCGAAACAACACTTTGTACGCCTTCTTATAGAAACGAGAACCATTACAAAGACATTTTCAAAACACTTTCAGAAATCACACCACAAACACATTTTCAAACAAAAGCAAGTGATCTAGCAAGAAACTAAGAGCCCGTAGATAACTACAGATGAAAAGGGTGCTAACACCTTCCCTTTTCATAACCTACCCCCCGATCTCAATAAATAATCTCGAAAGGTCTTTCCTGTTCTTTTCTTGTTCTCCCGGAAGCAGGAGTATCAGTAAGAATGATTACATGGGTTGTAATGGCTTTGTCAATTGGAGTACTTGCAGAGATAAATGTAGGACCGGGAACAGCTTTTGGGGGAACAACAACAGGAATGATTACGGGTCCAGAAGCTGCTTTTGGGGGAGCAATTTCTGGAGAAAAGATCCTACCACTTCGGGTAATTTTGCTAGTTCCTGCAATGTTACTGGTGTCGGAGTCTTCTTTCTCGGATTTTGAATCTTCGACGGCTGACCAGTCCTGTTTGAAACCATGGTAGTAGACATCCCCTCCATAATTCCATGGTATGGTTTTGTATGAATCATAGGGGACTGGCCCAGGCATTGTGATTATTAAAGGATTTGCTTTCGAAACTGATGTAATTCTAACGGGTCTTTTGGTGGAGACCCTAGAAGAATTGGCGGAAATGGTAATGATAGAAACATCTTCAAAAGGAACTGGTGTAACAGGAGTCTTTTCAAACAAAATCTCTTTGTTATCCATTAGGCACTGAACGCCTACTTTCAACAAAGGATAGTTAGTCGGTGAGGATAAACAGAAACGGCAATCTTCATCACAGCCCGGGAACACATCAGCATTCAACAAGTTCATTTTAACAGTCAGAAGTGGGGTCATAAGTTCATCAACTGAGGTAACAAACAAATTTTCTTCAATGGCATTAGTATTGTGACCATGTCTAGGCATAGGAGCAGAAATGACATTTGGCTTCTCGGGCGCCAACAGTTATTAGTACCGTGACCAGGACTTTCAGAGTGATATGTGCAACAGGAATTGGGATGATAATGAGGAGATGTTGTGTTGGGGTTTTTCGGAGCTTCTTTCAAGGTTACCAAATTGGATTTTAGAAGATAAGGTAATACCTGAGACGGGGTCATGTTGATTCTGGTAAACTTCCTGACTGGCCTTTCTACTCTTGGTTGATTATTTCTTTGTTGATCAGATGCAGGTTTTGGGATCATAACAGCCCCCGCCATTGGTCGGCGTTCAGCCTTATCTTGGTTTCTTTGCGGATATACGACAGCCACCTCTTTCTTTCTGATAAAGGGCTTCCTTACAACTGCCGAAGAGATGTGTCTTTCTGGATCTTTCCATTCTTAATATCGGCTTCTATCCTCTCTCCGGTCAATATTAGTTCAGTAAAACCAGTAGATGAACTTCCGATTAAATGATTGAAGAAGGGACCAGATAAGGTGCCTAAGAGCATGTCTACCAATTCTCTCTCAAACAGAGGGGGTTAAATTCTTCCAGCCAAATCTCTCCAATTTTATGCATAGTCCTTGAAACCTTCATTGGACACCGTGGCCATACTCTGGAGTTGAGTACGGGTAGGTGCCAAATCAGCATTGTACTGGTATTGCTTATAGAAAGCTGTAGCAAGATCTTCCAAATTGTGAACATTAGCCCTTTCTAGTTGGTAGAACCAGTCAAGTTGAGTCCAGACAGACTGTCTTGGAAGAAATGCACCCATAAGTCTTTATCAGCGGTATGGGGTTGAATTTTCCTCACATATGACCAGAGATGCATCTTAGGGTATGAAACTCCGTCATATTTAGCGAATACAGGTGCTTTGAATTTCGGAGGAATCACAATCCCCGACACCAAACCCAATTCCTCAAAGTCCAAGCCTGGTACCTTTTGGATTTCCATCGCGCTCAATCGCTCTTCGAGATGTTTATACTTATCATCAGCTAGAGGGTATTGTTCCTCAGAGTAGTCCTCTTCTTCTTCCTCCTCTTCTAATTCTGAGGGTACAACTGTTTCCTTGCCTTTCCCCTCTCCTTCACCGGATGTTGTTGCAAAGTCCAAAGTCCTTCTTGTCTGCCCATGAAATCTTCTTCCCATGTTTAAGACTCCGGTTACCTTCTTTGTTTTCTTTTTCCTCTCTTCAGCCAGCAGAGTCTTCAATTCTTCTTGCCCCTTGGCTAGGGTCATGAGCAACTGTTGAAACTGCGTATTCTGAGCTTGGAGATTTTTACTGTTTGCTCAAGATCCATCTTACTGAAATAAACAGTAGAGAGATGAGGAGACTTGTTGCAAAAACCTGCTTATGTTATGATGAATGGTATATGCATATGCAATGTTTTCAAGGATTTCAAAGATTCAAATTCACTTTAGACAAAAAGGAAACACACGTTATATTAATAAGATAAAGTTTGAGTACATCAATGCCCCTTGGGAAAATAATACAAAAGTTCTAAGATAGAAAAGTAGTGTGCATCCTCTTTGGTGCAATGTAGGCGTTCAGAGTTTGCTCCTCATGAAGTAGTCTGGTGAACTCCAAAACCTTCTTCTCGCTTGCGTAGAATTGGGCTTCGAAAGTATCTCACTCCCCTTTGAGTTATATCCAATCCCTTTGGAGGTCTTCAAGATATGTGGGCATGCCAGGATGTAGGATAGTGTATGGAACATCTCCCTCCATGACAGGCTCAATAATTACCGGGAGGATGGAGGGGTAAGGCATCATAAGACTCTGAGCGCGAGTTCGTACTCATTTGAGGTAAGACTCAAGAGGGATGGAATTCTTGTGCCCCAAAGTCTTGTTATCCACCTTGTTCAACATCCTCCAAGCTCGGATAAATCTTTGGCGAAGACCTTGATTGTCGTTGTCGTAGTCAAATACCAAACCTTGAATTAGCATCTCGTGTGGGTCATCCCTTCGGGCGTAACCAAACTGTCTTAAAGCTAAGAAGGGGTTATAGTTGATTCCTCCCCTAATGCCAAGAAAAGGAACATTATGGAATTCTCCACAATGGTCGATAATGATAACATTCTCTTTGGATCGGGAGCACCAATGAATGTCTGAATGTTTGAGCGTCGTCAACCTTTGTGACCACCTTGAACCTTGCTCGTTCTTTAATACTGATTGGGGAAGATGAGAAATAAACCATCTTTCCAAGAAAGGAGTGCAACACATAAGGACACCTCTTTTCCTCATTGTGCGAGTGTGAAAAGAGTGTAGGATGTACCCT